TCCCAGACTTTTCAGTCTGCCCACATCCCACAGCCTCCCCAATTCTCATAGCCTGTCTCAGAAATCCCCTTTCTATCTGCTATATCCTTCATAGAGACGGAGTGACCACAACTGAGAGCGTGTTCAGAGCAGCCTATTCTCAATCCCATTTCTTAGGTATGTGAACATTGTCTCGCTTTTGGCCACTACTGCAAATGAACAAATGTTTTCGTGGAGCTTCTATTAATGACACCCAGGTCTTTTCCCTGAGGTGTGTTCTAGCTGGAATGTTTCCCCTGGTACATGTCTTGGCAAAGCTTTGGTTTTTTTCACTCTCAGATTTTGAGCAACGGGCTAAATAGGGAACTCCCTACAGCATGAGTTCTCTAGCCTGGGATTCATTGCATTGAGGAATAATTATGGATAACCAGTATCCACACTCCGGTTTCCTGCTGGTGCCTATTAAGGATTCCCAGACCACGATGTGTAGGAATTACTGACAAATGGAGGACCATAAAATATGGAATTGGCATTAATAGGGTCAGTGTTTCATAATTCATTTATCTGAATGATGAAAATGTCATTTTCAGTATGTGAAGAGTGATGAATCTTCTTCAACCATGTTCTACAACAGCCACCAGTAGTGCATGTAGTCTCTCATATTAACATTGTCTCTCCACCCAGGCATTTGTACTGCAACCATCACCCTAGAGCCTGGGCACATACAGAAAGTCTGGTGAACGTACGGTACATGCAGGAGACACCGTTCTACCTCAGAGTTGGACACCTTCTCCCCTACTCCATGTCAGATTCCAATACAACCGACTTCACCAACCCCTCCACCTTCATCCTGTTGGGCATTCCTGGCCTGGAGGCAGCCCATGTCTGGATCTCCATCCCCTTCTGCGCCATATATGTCATAGCCATCTTGGGGAACTTCACCATCCTGTCCATCGTAAAGACGGAGCCAAGCCTCCATGTGCCCATGTACTATTTCCTGTGTATGCTGGCCATCACCGACCTGGTCCTGTCTACATCCATCCTGCCCAAAACGCTGAGCATCTTCTGGTTCAATTCCAGGGAGATCAATTTCAGTGCCTGCCTCACCCAGATGTACTTCCTTCACTGCTTTTTAGTAATGGAGTCTGGGTTCTTTGTGGCCATGGCTTTGGATCGCTATGTGGCCATCTGCGATCCCCTGAGACATTCCACCACCCTGACAAACCCTGTGGTGGCCAACATCGGTGTGGCCGTAGTACTGCGTGGTGGCATGATCATACTGCCCTCTTTCCTCCTGGCAAGGCAATGGCCATATTGCAGAACCAACATCATTCCCCACACGCACTGTGAACACATGGCTGTGTTGAAGCTGGCCTGCGCTGACACCCGTGTCAGTAGTTACTACGGCCTCTTTGTGTTATTCTTTGCGATGGGTCTGGATGTGATTTTTATCGCTGGGTCCTATATCCAGATCCTGAGGGAAGTCTTCAGCCTCCCCACAAAGGACGCCCGGCTCAAGACTTTTGGGACCTGCGGCTCCCACCTCTGCGCCATCTTAGCCTTTTATATCCCAGCTCTCTTCTCCTTCCTCACGTACCGTTTTGGCCAGAATGTGCCCCTACATTTCCATGTTCTTATTGGCAATGTGTACCTCCTGGTGCCCCCCATGATAAACCCTATTATCTATGGTGTGAGGACCAAACAGATCCGGGACAGGCTTCTCCGGCTCATTACTCATAAAGGGACAAAAATTGTCTCTTGGTACTCTGGCTCTCAGACCAAGTTCTGTCCAGATCTGGGTAGTGAGTTGGTGCTTGGTCCACTTCCCTGAATCACTTGCTGATCAGTGAGAGACATTAAATCATTTCCTGACCTTAGTCTGCTTTGTCAGCGTGACAAACTGGGGAATGGGTCTGTGTACAACTCATTAACTCATAGAGTTGCCACCTTGCTAATTTCTGGTAACTGGACCCCTGATGTCCTGCCCCCTGCCCTGCCTCTCCCTCCAATGCCCAGTTTCTGCTCCAAATCTCATCTCAAGGCTCCACCCACTTCTGCGCTTTTCCCCGCAAGGCGCTGACCCTCTCGCTCACTCCTCTTCTCCCCCCGTCACTCGCTGAGTCTCCCTCACCAGCTGAGTC